CGGCATGTCATTGACGTGATCTCCGTAGCAGCCCAACTGAAGTGTAGCGTCATCGTCGGCCTCGATCCCGTTTTTCAGCATAATCGCAGAGTTCCGATACGTTCCACTGTTAGCACAAATCCTATATAATCGTATAAGAGTGAAAGATCTGACAAACCAGGAATGAGAGAGATCGTGTCTACCTGTACATCGCGCCACCCTCGCTGGCAAGTGTCCAGTCATCTGGTTTATCCGCTGTGGTTTTTGGAATAATAGGCTGCTCCCCATCAGGAACGGGGCAGCCGATATAATAATCCATCCCAGCACTTTTTTGCATGGACTTGAATGTAAAGAACTTTTCCTGGTAGCCATCTGACTCGATGTATGTTGCTAGCCACTGCAAATAACGAATATACTTATGAGCGATTTATGATAATCGAATAAGGGAGAACACCCTGCCTGCTGTCCATCAGCATTGGTGTCAAGATGTGTGCGGATTTTGACTGAATACAGGAGGAGACATGAGATCAAGCAGACAAAGGAATTGAATCGATTAACGCACAGCCCTCTGGATCGGTGGTGACAAAGGTGATAACCTCCCCGGAGAAGGCACTCCTGATTTTGTACAGTCCTCCGTCACGAATTTTAGCAGGCATGATATTATGAGATAACTTTAAGTCGTATCATATCGATTCTCGTATTTAAGCCCTCACCAGGGCTAAGATCAGCGGCAGAGTGAGAGTTCCGTGTCATGTGTTCCATGACTACTGGAATGATTATCGTCCATGACGATCCGCTGACTTCTGCTTTGGGGCTTTTCCTTATTGTTCTATCGGTGTCGTCAGTGTCCGATTCATTCAAGGATTGTATGTGCAACTAAAATTAGATGTTTCCTGGTATCAGTGGTAACAAGGCAGTCCCCGTCGATGCAAGAAACATAAGTTCAGGCTTGGGATAAGCAACGCACCTGTAATGAGCGCTGGGTGAGGTCTAGGATGTAGTTACTGTAGTTCTCGTACCAAGTACGTTGAACTCAACGAGGGTTGTGAGAATTCAATTGCAAGTGGCAGCGTGGGACTTTTTTTTAAACATGTACATACACGATTCACCAAGCTCACTTGTCAGCGGTAGAGTTAAAGTTCCGTGACAAGATGATCAATCCCCCAATTTTTAATTCCACCGTCCATGACTGATTATCACAGGTTCGCAGACCAATGCAGTGTGCACCATATAGTATATATTGCCATTCTTTCCATGAGGACCGCCGTATCCTTTCATAACGAACTTTCTACGATCGCTATACAACGCACTATCTCGGTCAAGTAGGTATTCTATCCGAATTTCTGTAATCATTTGACGACCTTTTCACTTCCAGATGGGCAATTATGGCGTCTACGTTACGCTGAAGAACAAAACTAAGGAATCCTTGACGTTTAACTGGAAATCTGCGAACACGGGAAAATGGGTTGATGTGCCCAATTACATCGCTGCCAGCAAGGACGCGTCTTTTACTCTGGAGGATACTGCCTGGTTCTCTGGCACAGAAGGAGCATTCTCATACAAGATTGATGGCGCCCGCACCGAAGTCTCTACGTACCAAACCGATCCTTATGCGCACGACAACGTCGTTGTGATTACAGAATCACCCTTACCAGCGGCACTGTATACGCTCTCCTTTCGCGCTAGTGTTAACGACGATAAACATTACAAGGATAATCGGGTGGAACCTGATGGCCATCCTGTCTACATCGAGTACACCCTTGACTACGAACGCAAGAAGCATTACAAGTTCCAGCTGTTGAAGATCACTGCCACTTCCGATCTTCCTGTTCGCAACAGTCGTGACCG